TCATAGTACACTTTTCTTTTTTTTTTAAGATTTATTTATTTACCTGAAAGTCAGAGTTACACAGACAGAGGAGAGGCAGAGAGAGAGGTCTTCCATCCGATGGTTTACTCCCCAGATGGCTGCAACGGCCGGAGCTGTGCTGATCCAAAGCCAGGAGCCAGGAGCTTCCTCCAGGTCTCCCACCCGGGTGTAGGGGCCCAAGGACTTGGACCATCTTCTACTGCTTTCCCAGGCCATAGCAGAGAGCTGGATTGGAAGTGGAGCAGCCAGGACACGAAAGGGCGCCCATATGGAATGTTGCCGTCAAAGGTGGCAGCTTAATCTACTGAGCCATGCCCTACCACGCTCCCAATAACATCTTTCAAATGACTTGTAGACAGAATACATAAAGAGCTATGAAAACTCAAAATAAGAAAACAGGTGCCTGCGCTGTGGCATAGCGGGTAAAGCTGTGGCCTGCAGTGCTGTCACCAGTTTGAGTCTTGGCTGCCCCTCTTCTGATCCAGCTCTTTGCTATGGCTTGGGAAACCAGTAGAAGTTGGCCCCTGCACTCACGTGGCAGATCCAGAAGAAGTTCCTGGCTCCTGGTTTTGGATCGGTGCAGCTCCAGCCATTGTAGCCAATTGGGGAGTGAACCAGCAGATGGAAGATCTCTCTTTCTCTCTCTGCCTTTCCTTCTCTCTGTGTGTAACTCTAGCTTTCAAATAAATAAATAAATCTTAAAAAAAGAAAAGAAAACAAATAGCAAACTTAAGAATAGGCAAAAGAGAAATGGGCATTTGGCACAGAAGTTAACATGCCACTTGTGACTTCTGCATCTCCTACCAGAGTGCCTGGGTTGAAGTCCTGGCTCTGCTGCCTGCCAACTCCAGCTTCCTACTAATGCACACCTTGGAAACACCAGGTGATGGCTCAAGAAGTTGGGTCCCTGCCACTCATATCAGAGAAACAGATTGAATTTCCAGCTCCCTGCTTTTGGTTGGCTCAGGCCTGGCTGTTGGAGGAGGCATTTGGGGCATTAATCAGAGAATGGGAGATCTCTCTCTGTCTCTTTCTATCTATCTCTGCCACTCTGTCAAATACATAATGTCAATAAGAAATAAAATAAGCAAATTAAATGAACAGATATTTACCAAAGGTTTTATGCAGATGGCAAATATATACATTAAAAAGATGCTCAACATAATTATCCATTAGAAAATGTAAATTTAGTGGCTTGCATCCTATATCCACTTGGCTGTGTTTTGAGTCCCAGCTTCATTTCCAATTACAGCTTCCTGATAATGCACACCCTGGGAGGCAGTACATATATTGCTCAAGTATTTAGGTCTGTCTCTGCCACACATATGGAGACCTGAGTTTTGGGTTCCTGGCTTCAGCCTGGATTTTGTGGCCCCTGTGGTGGACATTTGGTGAGTGAACCGACAGATTCTGTCTTTGTCTCTATGTCTTTCATGCAAGTAAAAATAAATAAAAATTTAAAGAAAATATAAATTAAAACCATAGTAAGATACCACTCTACACATTTATTAAAATGGCTTAAATTTTAAAATACAATAATATCAAGTGTTGATAAGCATTTGAAGCAGCTCAAATTCTTTTATTTTATTAGTGAGAAAAATGGTATAGCAACTGTGAAAATCAGTTTGGCATTGTCTTATAAAGTTAAGGAAACACCTACCATGAGACCAAGAATCAACCCTAGGTATTACCAAGAAAAAATAAATACATATATTCTCAAAAAATTTTATACTAGAATGATCACAACAGTGCAAAACCAGAAGCAACATAGATGTTCATTAATTGATACAAGCAGTGATGTGGGTGAAGAGTAGTATTATGTTAATGAAAGAAGTTAAACATTAATGAGTGCTTATTTTTTATTCCACTTATATGACATTCTAGAAAAAGCAAAGTTATAATACCAAAAAAGCAGATCAGTATTTCCCAGGAAGTGAAGGTAGGGGCAGAGATAACAAAGGGAGTGATAGAAATATTCTATATATTGATTAAAATGATGGTTATATACAACTATATATAAACTCATTAAAATACACACTTAAAATTGGTGACTTATTGTATGTAATTTGTACATAAATAAAGCTGTTAAAAATGAAATTGGAAGGGGGGAATGACACCTTAGAATTAATAAAAGGGTAAGCAATCTAATTTGTAAAGACATAATAAAATATAAAAGTGACACCACACTATGATTAGGTGGAGTTTATCCCAGTAATACAGCATTCATTTAATATATGGAAATTAACCAATACAAATTAATCACATTAATAGATTAAAATGTAAAAGCATATGGTCATTTCAATAGATTAGCAGTTATTTTTGTTCCCCAGAGGACATCCGACAGTGTTGACATTTTTGCTTATCACAACTATGGGAGGGAGTGTCTATTAGGTCTCCTGGTGTCTATTAGGTAGAAACTTTGAACGCTGTATATGTAGTATACCTCATATACAGGGAGGCCCTCAGTTGGGAAACATTGGTGTACATTCTACTTCCCCTACTGAATATTATATTTGTAATATAAATAATGTTGCTAGAAGGTACATATGAGGGTACTTCAAAAACTTCAAAGAAAATGGATGCAAAAATTTGAAATCCATGCATACAAAGGGTCACCGAAAGGTTAATGAAAAATGTATATTACTGTGACCAGTGCTATGGCATAGTGGATTAAGTTGAAGCCTGCAGCACTGGCATCCTGGCTGCTCCACTTTCGATCCAGTTCCCTGATAATGTGCTGGGAAAGCAGTGGAAGACAGCTCAAGTGCTTGGGCCCCTAAACCCACGTGTGAAACCTAGAAGAAGCTGCTGGCTCCTGGCTTCAGACTGGCCCAGCTCCAGCTGTTGTGGTCATTTGGGGAGTGAACCAGAGGATGGAAGATCGATCTCTCTCTCTCTCTCTCTCTCTCTAACTTTGCCTTTCAAATAAATAAATAAATCTTAAAAAACAGAATCAGCATTTTTATATTACATATCATTTTATATTATAAAAAGTATAAATTTTAAGATGTTTGAACTAAAATAAACTCATCTTTAAATTCCATTTTCCACAAACTTTCTGAAGTACTCTCATGCATCTGTTTCTTGCTATCATAACCTCCAGTAAGTATCCCCCATATGTTTCTTATCCATCTCCCTAGTGATCAATTCCTAAGTTGCTTCTAATTGTACTCTACCACAAACAACACTGTCATGCAATCAACAGCCTTGTATATGTTCTCTCTGGACTTCTGTGAGAATTACTCTGAGATACACATTTAGGAATGGAACCACTAGGTTATACTCACACTGGGCTTTTATAGTTACTGCACAGAGGCTTTCTGGAATTGCTGAAACAGTTTTCTTTTTTTTAATTTTTGACAGGCAGAGTGGACAGTGTGAGAGAGAGACAGAGAGAAAGGTCTTCCTTTTTGCTGTTGGTTCACCCTCCAATGGCCGCCGTGGCCGGCGCGCTCTGGCCAGCGCATCGCGCTGATCCGAAGGCAGGAGCCAGGTGCTTTTCCTGGCCTCCCATGCGGGTGCAGGGCCCAAGGACTTGGGCCATCCTCCACTGCACTCCCGGGCCATAGCAGAGAGCTGGCCTGGAAGAGGGGCAACCGGGACAGAATCCGGCGCCCCGACCAGGACTAGAACCCGGTGTGCTGGCGCCCCAAGGTGGAGGATTAGCCTATTGAGCCACGGCGCCGGCCTATGAAACAGTTTTCATACCATGCAGGAGGAGGTTACCATATCAGGCCTGAGACTGCTAATCTTTAGAAAGACCAGCTTGACAGGATTCTCATTGGCTGGCATCTTGTAATCGGATCTCAAGAGGGTTCTCCACCATTCTCTGACAAGAGTAAGTTGCTGTGCCTAGACTGCCTGTGGTTTATGGTGAATACCTGCTCTCCTGTGAATCTGGGAATCTGGTAGATGCTAGTAGAGGGTGCCTACATGAGCAGCCTCCTATTGAAACCTTGGACACTGAGTTTCTAATGAGTTTCTCTGGCAGACATGTCATATCTCAATCCTAAAGGAATTTAGTGCATACTATGTTACTCTACTGGGGATGAAGTCTCTTGGAAGTTTGTGCCTTGTTTCCTCTGGACTTCATCCCACATGCCTTTTCCTATTTCTGATTTTGCTTTGGATCCTTTGGCTATAAGAAATCATAGCAAGGACTTTTCCTACCAATCACTGAACATAAGTATAGTCTTATGGACTCCCATAAGCAAAGCAGTTAATTTTCCAAAATGACTTTCTTTTAGGTGCACATTTGTGTATCATTTGAATCCTGTATCATGAGCATATATTACCTCTTTAAAAATAAATACTTCATAAAGGAAAACAAGGTTACCTATGAATGAGACCCAAAAGATATAAAGGAATCATCAAGGTCATACAATGAAACTTTCTCATATTCTAGATGAGGAAGCTGAAGCCCAAAGAGGATAAGGGCCTTGGCCAAAGTTATTCAGATGGTCATTACAGGCACAGGGCATAGTCCTCACTGTCCTGTTTCCTAGTACTCCTGCTGCTAAGCCTATGGTCTCTTCCGCTTGTCATTTCCCCTATCCCACTGATCTCTACTAAATGCCTTGTGGGAGCTTACTTTCTTGCAACCATGGTCCCTCTTATTTCTCAGTTCATGGATATTCTGTGCAATGAATATGTTGAGTCCCCCATCCCAAAACACTGGGATTCATGGAGACTGAATTCAACAGGAACAGAACAAACTGTAGAAAAACTCCTACTGGAAACAGTCTTGAAAGACAAGATAAGAAGGGAATGGTAAAGAAAGAGAATCCCAGGTTAAATCATAACACCTTTCTAAGTCCTCATACCCTGGCCAGAGATTGAGGCTCAAAATCAGAGCCAGAGAGAAACCAATCCCCCACCACAGGACAAAGCAGCTGAACAGAAATAGACAGCTCAGACTTTCCTTCTGTTGTTTCCTAAGGTTTCTTAAAAGCCTCCCCCCAAAGGGGTAAGATGCTTACGTGCTCCAGGAAGCAGGGTCCTATCTCGCTGAGGTGGGGGTCATCATTGTTGTACTGTTTTTCCAGGTCTCTCACAAAGCCCATCTGAAACCTGTAGATGTCCTCAATGTTCCCAAAGATTATCTTCAGTTGCTCATCGCTGAACATGTCCCTTCTCTTTCGGCACTGTTTCAGGTAGCCCTGCAGACAAAGGAAAAGCCAAGAATGAGGCTGTCTCCCACTCTCAGAGGGCTTTACTACTTCCTAAGTACTTGGGAGCCTCATTTCAGTTCCATGAAGTATAGTCATTTCCATTTTTCATATGAGGAGAATGAGGTTTAGAGAAGGGAATCACTCGACCAGTGAGTAACTAGGAATGTTGCAGCTCTAGCAAAGGTCTTCAGAGTGAAAAGGCACCAGAGCATAGGGCTTTCCCCACCATACTCTATGACAAAGAACCCAAAAGTTAAAGGATCATTTTCTGGAAGTTCGTTGAGCACAGTTTCACTCATCTTAGTAGTTGTTGGTTTAGCTAGATCGATTCACATCTCTCAAGTTCTATTCCTTCTAAGACCGATGCAAAAGGTTATAATAATAGTGATCACAATTTGGCAACAGAGGCCAAGTCAGGAAAATTTCCCATTAGGGAACAAGAATTAACAAAATCAAGCATTTATTTAAAAAAAAATTTTATATTTGAAAGTCAGAGTTACAGAGAGGGAAAAGGAGAGAGAGAGGAAGAGGGTGAGGGAGAGGAAAATCTTCCATCTACTGTTTGAATTCCCAAATGGCCTTAACGGCCAGGGCTGGGCCAGGTCTAATCCAAGAGTCTGGAACTCCCTGGGGAACTTACATGTGGGTGCAGGAACTCAAGCACTTGGATCATGTGCTGCTTCTGCAGGCCAATTAGCAGTGAGAAGAATTGGAAGTGGAGCAGCCAGGACTTGAACCAGTGCCCATATAGGATGCCAGCATCAGAGGCAGCAACTTAACCCACTATGCCACAATGCTGGCCACAGTCCAACAATTTCTTAAAGCGAGTTTTTCAGGTATCTAAGGTAGCTGGCCAGGAGAGATCATTTGGATGAACTCAGCCAGCAAGTTCTTCAGTGTCTAGGTGTGGTATTTTTTACAGAGCAGGTGTTCAGGACTCATTTGAGAATAACAGATGACTTAATACAGCTAGCCACTAATTAAAGAGAAGTACAGATGAATATTGATAATATAATGTTTAAAAGCAGAACATAAAGTGGTACATCACTATAATCATAACCCTTTATATATATACATATATATATACACATATATATATAAAATCCCTTTATATGTACATATATATATGGACAGATTTGAAAGTATTATGCAAGAGCACAACAATTCTTTTGTATTTGGTGAATTCTGATTGATTTTGTTCATATTTTTAAACCTTCTCTAATGTTTCTTTTCATTTTCATGATTAAAAATTAGGGAAAAGGGGGCTGGCATCGTGGTATAGCAGATAAAGCCACTGCATGCAATGATGGCATCCATATGAGCCCCGGATGCTCCACTTCCAATCTAGCTTCCTGCTAATGCACCCGTGAAAGTAGCAGAAGATGACCCAAGTGCTTGGGCCCCTGCAACCACATGGGAGACCAGAAGAAACTCCTAGCTCCTGGCTTTGGCCCAGCCCAGTCCTGGCTGTTGTTGTGGCCATTTGGGAAGTGAACCAGCAAATGGAAGACCTTTCTGTCTCTTCTCTCTCTCTGTAACTCTGCCTTTCAAATAGCTAAAATAAATCTTTAAAAATAATTGGGGAGGGGCGGGCATCATGGTGTAGTAGGCTAAGCATCCATCTTTGGCTCTGGCAACCTATATGGGCGCCAACTGGTATTCCAGCTTCTCTTCCAATCCAGTTCTCTGCTAATGGTCTGGGAAAGCAACGAAAGATAGCCTAAGTGCTTGGGCCCCTGACCCCATGTGGGAGACCTGGAAGGAGTTCCTGGCTCCTGGGTTCGGATTGGCCCAGCTCTGGCTGTTGCAGCCATTTGGGGAGTGACCCAGTGAATGGAAGACCTTTCTCTCTGTCTCTCCCTCTGTCTGTCTGTAACTCTGCCTGTCTAATAAATAAATAAAATCTTTTTAAAAAATTGGGGAAAAGTCTTAACCAAAGACTGTAAAGAAAAGAAAATACAGCTTTAAGGTTTCCCTGTGTACACTATTATCAAGGAGGTGTATGTATTTGGGGGTTGGGCAAGGAGGAATATGATGTCTTCTCAAGATAGTCTCAAGCACTAGTATGTAAGACACATAACTGCTTTAAAGAATTACAAATAATATTTAGTAAATGGCCTATCAAGGCAATAAGGGATGGATAGGACCTAAGAATATAAGAGTAGTCAGAAAACCCAAAATGGCACCCTCAATGTTTATGTCATATGTAACTGCTTAGGTTTCTGGGAGAAGAAAAGCCAGGATAGATGACTAGTTCCATGGAGTCTTGCTTTTATTATTTTTTTTTATTCTCTTATTTTAGCTAGCCTAATGATTATCAAATTTTCCATGGTGGTGATGAGCAGAGGTTTGGATAGGGGTCAAATCAATAATTGTCTCTTCTCATTCATTCACTTTTAGAGTTTTTGAGTTTCAGATGTGTTGGCAGTGAAATGTGACTGCCAGAAACCCTAATGCAATTTTAAGTTAGGAAAAGGAAAAAACAGATTGAGAGGCAGAAATAAGAGGGGAAACAGGAAGCAATCACACCACTGCTGGAGAGCAGCATTCAATTCTAAGCTTCTCTTTTCAAGAGCCAAAGGGCTGTGATGCACACACATCTTTGTGTAGATAAATGCTTTTCTTTCTCTCAGACAGATAACTGAGAGTTATAATGCTGAATCGTGGGGTAACTCTGTTTAACTTTTTAGAGAAACTACCAAGCAGCTTTCCAGTGTGGCTGTGCCATTTTACACTCCCACCTGCAATGATTGAAGGTCCTAGTTTCTCCATACCCCCACCAACACTTAGTATTGTCAAATTTTTTATTACAACCTTTTGGTGGTATTTCATATGGTTTCAATTCGTGTCTTCCCAACAATGCTGAACATCAATTCATATGCCTGTTTTTTTTTTTTTTTTGGACAGGCAGAGTTAGACAGTGAGAGATAGACAGAGAGAAAGGTCTTCCCTCCATTGGTTCACTCCCCAAATGGCCACCACGGCCGGTGCACTGCGCTGATCCGAAGCCAGAAGCCAGGTGCCTCCTCCTGGTCTCCCACGTGGGTGCAGGGGCCCAAGCACATGGGCCATCCTCCAGTGCGTTTTTAATATATTTTCTTTGGTGAAATGTCTATTCAAATCTTTTGTAGTTTTCAAATTATGTTGTATATTTTCATATCAGGATGATATACACAAGAGGCTTCAAATATTTCATGGAAATGTATATTATGAAAATCTACCTATGCATTTCAATTTTTTATACCAAAATAAACTTACCTTTTAATTCTAAAAACAAAAGAACCAAAGGGAAGTAAGCAGGGTATGGAGGGGTCTGAAAAGCAACACGATGAAGAATGGTAGAGGGAATCAGTCTGGTTGTCCTGTTGTCAAAGACTCAGGGGATCTCTGAGGGCCTCTCACAAGCGTAGAGGGAGCAGAAGAGATCTGTGGCTCTTACTCTCAGGCATGCTTCAAAAACCCCTAGACTCCATCTAAATGCTAAGAAGTAACAGTGTGCACTATTGCACTAGATGTGAACTGATTCAAGCTTTGCAGGCCACAAGGTAATCACATCAATTACAACTGGAAAGAATCAGCCCTGGCATTGCCATGTTAACAGCCAAGAAAGGTTGTTCATGCATTTAACAACTTCGTTTCTGAATTCACAAGGGCTGATCTACAAGTTGAGATCTATTGCACTGATATCAAAGTAGTGCTTTGACATGGGATATAAACCATATTGAAGATTTGCAGAGAAGATCCCAAAAAATGGTGGGAAACAGTATGGCTCAAAGAGCTGCTGGATCATCTAGGATTTGGAAAAACCTTTTTAGGGAAGGTCCTCCCAAGTCTAGATGCCAGTTGTCTCCATCTCTAAAATGAACACAGCAGAAAAGATTTCCATATCCTCTTTCAGTTCTGATGCTTTAGGAGCTTCATATTGATTATTAAATATTTAGTCATTTTTATTATTTATTTTAAAGGCTGAGAGAAAGACCAATCTATTCACTGATTCACTCAACAAATGCCCCAACAGCAAGGGTCAGAGCAGGTCAAATTCAGAAGCCAGGAAGTTCACCTCCCACATGACTGGCAGGGATTCCAACACTTGAACTATCATCTGGTGCTTCCAAGGTGCAATAGTAGGAACTTGGATCAGAAGTGGAAGCGAAACACAATCCTAGGCACACTGATATAGGATGGGGGTGTTCCAAGCAGCAGCTTAAGCCACTGCACCAAAATATCATATATATACATATAGATAGATATAGCCTAAAGCCTGAAGCCTGACATGAGACTTGACAAACATCTTGAAGAGTATTTAAAGAAAATTAGACTCTTATCATCTTTATGGATGATGACCACAGTTATCTTATTTACCATTGTATCATCAGAATTTATTTGAATACCAGGTACAAAGTAGAAACTCAATAAATATTGGTTGAATAAATGCAAAATGACTAGTTCTTCCCAGAATAATGATGGCCAAAGGTAATTAAGGAGCAGACTGTTCAAACTGGTGATTTTCTTTCCCTTCCTCCTTCCCCTTTTTGAGAAGGGAAACTCTTCAAATGAAATAAAACCATTAAAGGAGACAGGAAGAAGATATTTCTGACATGAAAAACTGACAATGAATTAATTACTGGAATATATAAGGAACTCTGATAAATCATTAAGAAAAATATGAGAGACTGGAGGAAAATGAGCAAAGAAAGGATAGGAATAGGGCCTGGAGTGTCTTGGTGGTATGGATAGGTAGGGACTAGGGCAGGTATAAATCCCTGGGCTGGCCACTCATTGGCTACTTTTAATATAATATATCATAAAAATATTACTATTTTATACAAAGTGTTCATTCTCTGTGTGTGTCAATATGTAAAGACATTTGGGAAGTACTGGGTTAGGCAATTCTCAGAAAGGAGAAACCCAAATGGCTAATAAGTTTGAAATTCCAAGCTTAAATATATCAACGGGAAATGGCTTGAAGCTACGGCATAATAAACCTG